TTAGGAAAATCGCAACGCGAATTTGAGAAATCGCAATGCGATAGTCAGAATCGCGTTGCGAATCTGGAAACTGATTTGCGATACCGGAGATCGCGTTGCGAATTATCGATCGCATTGCGATTTAGTTGGTCATTTTGGCAAATCCAAAAAAAGTTGGTTAAAATCGTATATTATAAGGAATTTTTGTCACTGGGGTTATTTTCTCTAATGTAAAATGAGGTTTGGCGGATACAAACCAAGATAAAATTATTGATTTTATAATTTAAATTTATTTGATTTAATTATTTTTTCCAGTAAGATGGTGATAAAGTACAATAATGTAAAATGAGTTAATGACTAAATATAATTTTAAATTAAATTTTTAGTTTAATTAATAATGCAAGTAAAAGAATATAATTAAAAATATTTTAAATGTAAGAATCAAAGTATATTTTATATTTAAATGTACGAATCAAAATATATTTGTGTGAAAAATAAAATGTACGGAAATATAAAAATAAATAATATTTTGAAAAATATTTTTATTAAAATATAAATATATTTAAATACTAATTTATGCAAGAAAAATAAACTATATAGAAAATATAAACTGTAGTAAAAATATAAGATTATTTATAATCATTTTACAGAAAAAATTTATTCATACATCTACTTTTCGTACATTTTTTTAATAAAAAATAAAATTGTTAATTTAATTAATAACTTAATTTAAGATTATATATAATCATTGAATTATACATATAAAAAATTAAATGTAGTTAAAAAATACACAAATTATTAAACTATAAATATTTACCTACAAGAGCAGTGCATAAAATATGTTGAGAGAGGTTGTTTTAGGTGGGTCCATGTGTGGCGCGGAGTGGTTACAAACTGAGCTACAACTATTGGTGTGCATGATTTGAATGGACTTGTTAGTAGAGTGTGACTTTAGGTAATCTATTACCTATATATTATAGGTATGGGAGTTGTTTAATATAGTCTTTTCATAATATAAAGTATTTTGTTTACGAAACCCACATGGTATTAGTTAATTTCGTTTCTTTTTCTTTTGCTTCATCACGACGATTAGGATTTTGGCTCACCTGACTCAACTCGAGAATAAGAAATCTTCCATTCGAGATCCGATTTGATCTGACTAAAATAAGATTTCACTTGACTCGAACCCGATCCGAAATAATAAAAAAAATTATTTTATTCAATAAAAACAGTGAATTAATTAGAAAAAATAAAATATAGATGGGTATTATTATAATTATTCCTAGATATAAAGTAAAAATTATTTTTTCCAGGTCAGGTATTTTCACTCTAAACCCGACCCGACCCGAATATCACATTAAAAAATCGACCCAACCCTGATTTTTAAAAAAACCTGATTCGATCGGATCGGATCGGGTCGGATCGGAACAGGCCAGGTTCGGGTCTCATGCCCATCCCTATCGATGATGCAGTCTTTGATCATGGTGGCACCTTGTTTACTAATAACGAGTCAAAGTGACGCTCGTTGAGTCCAACTATCTGTTGTGGAAGCGACAATCCTACTTATGGTGAGGAGTCATCAACTAGAAAAGCTGTTGAACGACACTATTCGTCATCCAAGTGCTACGGTGGTGACTGACGGCGATGTTGTGTGACAATGATGAGTACGAGATCTTTGTCGCCCAGGACAGTGCTCTTGCCTCCTGGCTCTTGTCGATGATCGGTCCGACCATCCACTATCACCTTGTTGATGCGGAATTGACGGCGGTGATATGGGTGAAAGTTATGACATTTTTCGCGAGTAAATCACCAATGATTAGTTGCCTCTTGAACGTGTCTCAGTGATGCTTGTGGATGCCGAGGTGTAGCTGTAAACATTTAATCAGTGATGGGTTGTAGATCACAATTAAACTTGCTAAGGCGTTTCTTGATGATTCATCTGGGATATGGCTCTCGTGGTCGATGGTGTGGGTAGCAAAGGAGATTCTTCAGGAGGTCGAGGTTCATTGTGGTAGAGGTGGTTATTCGGGGGGGGGTTATTCTAGTTGTCGGGGTCGCGGTAGTCGGTTCCAATGCCAACTTTTTCAAAAGCTTGGGCAACTAGTCGATAGGTGTTGGTACAGGTTCAATAAGTCATTTTGAGTGTTGGTGCAGCTGCCTCGTCTTCTGGGTCATCGGTGGTTTTCATGAACCGATGGTCAATGTGTGTCAATTTTATTCACCTGTTCGTGGTTTTGCTTGTTCGTGTTATATGGGTGGTGAACCTCCAAAATGGCTCTTCGAGGTAACTTGGGAAATGGTTCAGCTCGTGCACCTATCACGACTTCTCCCTCCTGGTGTGTTGACTTTGGAGCTTCCCACCATATAACATCGGATGCTACATTGGTTGATGATCGTGCTGAATTTCATGGGGCGGGTAAGGTTATGGTTAATGATGGTAAAGCATTACATATTAGTTGATATACTTTACGTACTTATTCATGAGCGTTGCACTTGAATTCCTTACTGCATGTTCCAAGCATTACTAAAAATCTGCTTTCGTTGTCTAAGCTTGCTAAAGACAATAATGTTTTCTGGAATTTCATGCTCAGCGGTGTGTCATTCGTGATGAAGACTCTGGTGATGTGTTGCTTAAAGATCGTGAGGTTGATGGCTTATATGAGTTCAATGCAAGTGTGGAGTTGTTCGATGGCGGTATAATAGAAACTATACTTGCAAATGCTTCTAGTTTGAGTTATGATGTTTTACATAGGCGTTTAAGGCATCCTTTTCCTGATGTGTTAATGAAGGTGAGTAAGTTGTGTAATGTTTCCTTTCGTGGAGAGATGAATACAACATTGTGTTGCATGTCAAATGGAGAAGAATCACATATTATTTGTTGAGTCCCAAACTCAATATTGACATCGTCTCAATTGATTTTTATGAATTTTTAGGGACCTCCACATATCTCCTTTAATGTGTTCAAGTATTATGTGTCGTTTGTGGATGCCTACTCTCAACATGTTTGGGTTTATTTGTTGAGAGATAAGCCTAAGCCTTTAATATATTTCTTCAATTTCAACGGATGGTTCATGTTTAGTTTGGTGCCTCTATCAAAGTTGTTCAAAGTGATTGGGGTGGGGAGTTTCGCTCCTTCTCAAGAGTTCTTCAAGATAGCGGAGTGCAACATCGAGTTACTTGTCCATATACGTCTCAACAAAATGTAATTTTATCGGTGGCTCATTGATTAATCGACTTCCTACTAAAGTTCTTCAAGGTGTGACACCTTATGAGAAGTTGTTTGGTAAGTCTCCTACATATGATCATTTAAGGGTGTTCAGGTGTTGTTGTTTTCCTTTCGTACGTCCGTTTCATACTAAGAAGTTTAATTTTCGATCCGAACCTTGTATATTTCTTGGAAAATATTGTTCTCGCTTTGGCAGTTCACATAATTGGAAGCTTCGACAAATAGATGCCAATAATGTGTTTCCTTATAGTGAGTTAGCTGAGGAGGTTTTCATGGTTCAACCACCTGGTTTGAACAACAATCTGAGACGGAATAACTTTTGGTGTGTAAGTTGGAGAAGGCTCTTTATGGATTAAAACAAGCACCATGAAATTGGTACACTAAACTTCAAAATTTCTTGCTTCAAGATGGTTTTTGGAACACATGCTAATGTTTCTTTCATTTATTAAATAACATGACAACATATATGTTTATGTTCTAGTTTATGTTGATGACATAGTGATTATTGGGAATGTGATTTGTTGATTGAAGATGTTATTGGTTTTCTTGCAAGAAGTTTTCTTTAAAAGATCTTGGTGAGTTGAATTTTTTTTCTTGGAATTATGGTTGATCGGTATAAGGGAGCACTGCTTCTAAGTGAACGAAAATACGAACGAGTGTTAGAACGTGCAAACATGTGTGATGCTCGTCTACTCCTACACCAATGTTATCATCCCCCAAATAACTCGTGATGGTGGAAAACCACTTGACGATCCTCAATTGTATCATAGTATTATGGATGGTTTGTTATATCTTAGTCACACTTGTCCTAAATCCCGTTCAGTGTTGGGTGTGTGGCTCAATATATGCATCAACCTTGTGAACTCATTGGTTGGCTATCAAACGCTTTTGCGTTACTTGAGTGGTACTCTTGATTATGGCTTGTTGTTTTGAGCTTTTGAGAGTGATCTTGTGTTACGTGCTTTTTTGAATTGGGCAAGTAACTCTGATGATCGACGATCAATCTCGGGTTTTTGCGTGTATCTTGGAGACAACCTTGTTTCTTGGTGTTCAAAGAAACAAAGGTTTGTGTCTCGTACTACAATAGAGGCTGAGTATAGAGGGATAGCCGATTGTGGTTTCTGAACTTATGTGGATGCAAGCTTTTTAGGTGATATAGGCGTTAATTGTACTTTGACTTCGGTTGTGTGGAGTGACAGCACTAGTGCAGTTGTGATGAGTGCCAATATTATTTTTCACGTTCGATCCAAACAAGTAGAATAGACGCTCATTTTGTTCGTGAGAAAGTTACAAACACTACTAGAAAAAAAAACCTTTAATGACGCTCATTGCACGTCATCTGCACCATAGATGACACACAAATGCGCGTCATTAAAGCCACCGACATAAATCTCAGATGACTCACAATTGTGCGTCATAAGTCTATGACGCGCCTTTGTGACACGCATTTATGACAACATTTATGACGCGCATTTATGACGCGCATTGAGCGTCATTGAAGCCCCGTCATAAATGAAGATGACATACATTTGTGTGTCATAAATTTATGACACGCATGTATGACTTACATTACGTTCATTAAGCACACGCCATTAGAAAAGAGGACACACATTCGTGGGTCGTGATTGTATGTCGTAAATTATATATATATTGTAGATTAACAAATAATCAAACTAAATCATATTTAATGCCCCATAATACTAAATATATATATCTATTATATAAGCAATCTATTGATACAATATATTCACATTAAGTTATCAAAAATATTGTAATCATATGTCGATACAAAATATCACAAAACATACAATGTCGCTAGGCGTTTCATGTTTCTAAGCACAGGAAAATCCTGACTTGGCCCATTTATATCACTAATCCTCCTGCACAAAAGATAAATGCAATATTTGCAAACACATCAGTGAATGAATAAAAAAAATGTAGTTGTGTGCAGCATTAAGTCAATGATTGCAAGTAATAGAGGCAATATGCTCACAATATAGTCAAATTTTTCAGGAGAGATAGGCTAGAGGGTATTGGTCCCTTGAGTCCACTTGCATGCATTTCCCTACAATAATTCAGAATGAACAAGTAAATTTGTAAGAAAATGAATAAATGCATATGTACATATAATAAAAATATGAATTTAATTTGAACTGAAAAACTTACAGTCTGTTGAGTTGTTCCCAGTTTTGTATGAAACTAGGTATTCTTCCACTGAAATTGTTATCATTTATCCTACTGCAGTAGACAACAAAATGTTGTTGGTCCTATGAACGTATCCAGATACATGGTTTAAAATAGAGGAAAATTTGAAGAAACTTACAAGTCAATTCGATTTCTTAGTAAACTAAACGTCACTGGCAAATTCCGAGTTAACTGATTGGAGGAGAGCATCCTGAAATTACAATGAGCATGAAACAAATCATTTGTTCTAGGCCAATTTAACAAGAAATTAAGAGAACTGTAAAATATTAAACAAAGAAGAAGAAGAAGGTAATGAGTTTTCCTTACAAAGTTTCCAAGTTCACTAAATCCCCAAGTTCAAGTGGTACAGGGCCCGAAAATTGGTTTGCTTCAAGATTCCTGATAAAGAAAAGCATCAAACATCCTTAATAAATTTCCTACCGAGTGAAAAAAAGAATATGAAAAGTCTATAATTTTCTAGCACCTACAACATCTAATAAAAAATAGACTAACAAAGTTTGTTGTTTTGATTTTGCAATGCAAATTTTTCTAGGAAGTCAATCGTTATCACACCCTGAAAAATCTAACTGAATAACTATAATTAACAAAGGTTGAGAACATACAGATATGTGAGACTGGTAAATTTTCCCAGGTACTTCAGAATTTCTCCTGACAAGAGATTTACTAGAAGAGAACTGCACAAAAACTTTAAGGTTGATATTTTAAGAGAATAAACTTATGTTAGGAGTTCTAAAAACTTACATAAAAGTCAAATTCATTGAAGCACATTCACTTGGAATGGTCCTTCGAGGTAATTGTATGCAAATCACTGCAACAAAAAGATAACATAAAGCAGTTAAACACTACTGCTCATGATTACAATTAGTATGTAGAATCATCATAGCAAATCATTTCTCGAAGGTAACGAAGCTTAACCAGTTAAGGAGGAAGTATTCCTGAAAGGTTATAGCCCTTGAGCACTCTAAAATACGTAATCCAAGCCATATTAGTATAACAACTAATGAAAAGAAACATATACTATAATTGATCTGATAGCCCTCTAAGGAAACCATGAAATGCATAACCTACTGAAATAGCTTTTCCATGGTCATTGCTTTAAGGGGACACGCAGATAAGTATGTGGAAATAATGCCTACAAACCAGAACCCGTGTAAATATAAGCTACTAGATTACAAAAGCCATAACTACCCTCAAATGCTGTCCTTGACTTGACAACCCCTCGGGATCACTTTAGTTAGAAAAAACCATGCATAAACATATTGGCCATATAGAATAAATCACACTTGATCAGATTAAAGAATTAAAGTAAATTAGCAAGTTACAAGAGGAAGGAATAATACATCCTTACGACGTGACAAACAGTTCCATCTGCCTCACATTCACAAGAGATATCATGCTTGGAATTCTTTGGTGGCACGAGCGTTACCCCAACCCTTTCAATTTTACAGGAATCGCCATTAAATTTCCAGTATTTGGAGCCCAATGCAGTAGTAATCTCTTGCAAAGCATCAACTAGAAGACATCCATAGTTCCGTAAGCATCACAACAATATATATGAAAACAAAAATGAACAGAATCATAGCTAGCTTTGATCATTAACATATTGATAAATTCAACTTCCACACCAGCATTGCATAGAAAGTGTAAAAGAGTAAATCAATTCAATTTAAAATCTTTTTCAGATTAGAAGGTGAATTTGAGTGAAACTGCAACCCAGTTTTGAAACTTTTTTCGGATCAAAGCAAGTTTGGATAAAAGAACCATAGTAATAGGGTTATATTTGATGCAATGGCTGTGTACATATTTACAAAAAAGCGTATATCCTTAGTAATCTTAATTAGACCAACATTTGAATCCGTATATAAATAAGATGAGAAGGGCTGGAAAATATTAGGATAAATTTCTTAAACCAACACATTTCAATCACCTATCACATGTTTTTTTGCCATAAAGCATGCCAAAGATCACACCGAGCCGTCAAAACAAAATGTCTACCATCCTTTGACTTCATGTCAAAGATCACTTATTGATGAACTTTTCATGAAATAAAGTTTTAGTGTCATTATGATTCTATGAACATGAAACAAAGGGTATTTAAGTAACAAAATAATAGTTAGTACCATTTCAGACACTTCGTTAATCAATCCAAGAAATATAAAGCAACAAAATCCTATAGATTCCAGTTTAGAGATAAATTCCTGCAATGGGTTTTAAATTCATTCGACTTTCCCTCATATGTCAAGCGAACTAAAAATTTATACTAAAAAGGAACACTCGTTTTCCCCACAATCTCATAAACAAATAAAACTACCACAAATAAAAATCAGATCTTAAACTTTGACTCACCTTCTTCTTTGGCCACTTTAGACTCAGCAAATCTAAGCAAGCTAAGGCAAAACATTGCAACGAGCCAGACGACCAACATTTTCCTAGTATCCATGACGACTATGAGAAGCGTATATTTTGGGGGACTTTTCAAACAAGTGAATTTATACAATAAATAGAGGGTATATTTACTTCAATCACTAAGAAGATAAACTTCAAACATACCCATGAACAAAATCAAACATAATACCCTTGATTCTACAGAGAAAGAGCACAAACATACCAGTACTCAAGACTAGGCTCGGATGACTTGTCCTCGTCTGCAAGGATGAAGTAAACAAAATCTTCATACCCCATCTTTCCTTCGACCTTACTGGTAAACTTTCTTGGAACCTAATGGTATGGAAGCATAACATGAGTGAAAGTTCCAAACTTGTGAATAAAATTAAGTCAATCAATGACACATAATAAGTGATAGAAAAGGAAAGTGGAATAGACAGTTCAATTAAATGAAAATGTTCTTCTGCATATAGAATGTAGTTTGGACCAAGGAACAAAAATGTCGAAAGGATGAAAAGAGAAAAAGGGGGGAAGCAATGGCGTGAACTGATTATCGAGGGGAAGAAGCGGGAAAGGATGCAAATAATGGGGGAAATTAAAAGACGACTTTTACAGATGACACATAATTAAAAATGTACTTCGTGTTTTTGTAAATTTTTCGAATTATGACTATTAAATATGACACACATTATTGTAAGTCATAAATCGTTCAGATTTTAAAAAACATGACATTTTTTTATGTCACATTTTTTGCAAGTCATAAATTAGCGCGTGTCATCGTTCGTGTGTCATTCAAGGTATATTTTCTTGTAGTTAAATGATTTAGTTTGCGTCAATTATGTTCCAAGTCATTTCTAGTTGGCAGATGGGTACACAAAACCTTTTCCCAAATCTATGTTTTCGACCTTTCAACAAAAACTCAATGTTGTAAGCTCTGTTGGTTTCTTCGGTCTTAACTATGCAGGGTGAATATTAAGGTAGAAATATTTACCTGTAAGAGTAGTTCATAAAATGTTTAAGAGAGGTTGTTTGGGTCTCTGTGTGGGGCCGAGTGGTTACCAGCTAAGCTACAGCTATTGGTGTTAATGGTTTGCTTGGATTTGTTAGTAGCATGTGAGTTTGGGTAACCTATTATATATATATATATATATATATATATATTGTAGGTATGGGAGTTGTTTAGTATAGCATTTTCACAATAATAAATAATATTTTGTTTACAAACCCACACAAATCGGCATAACTCTCGAGATAATATTCTCGAACAAATTATTTCATGAGATAATGCACTCCCAAGATTAATTACTCAAATAGGGTAAAATCCACAGTGTTGATCGTAGGTCGCCATGCCTTCCGGGCGACCTACTACATGGCCATCTTCCCGATATATGTCAATGAGAGAATGACCGAACGTTTGAACTTTTTGTATGGCACATGCACGACCCAACACATAGGTCACCATGCCCTCCGGACGACCTTGTAGGTTGCCATGCACTCCGGCGTCCTACCACTGCATTCTCCCACGTGATTCCTCTTGCAGTGCTCAAGAGATCTCATGCATGCAGCTGTATAGCTGTATTATTACAGCATGATTTGAGCTGCAAAGTGCAGCAATAATTCATGTAGCAGCTGGCGTGATTCCCTTATGCATGCAGCCTTAATAGCTGCATTATTGCAGCAGTTCACAGGTGGACCAGGCTGAACCAAAAATTATTGTCTTTGATTCAATATATGGATGCAATAATTCATGGGTGAGGGGGGCTGTTGCTATATAATATGGTGTGAGGGGGGCTGTCGGTTGTAAGAAGGAAGAAAGAAAGGTGAAGGAAAGGAAGAAGGAAGAAAGAAAGAAAGGTAACCGAGCATAATTTAAATTACTTTAAATTATTAGTTAGTTAGTTAGTTAGTTAGTGGGCATAGTTTAGGTTAGTTATATAATATAACAAAAATTTAGTTAATTACTTTGTAAGTTTAAGTTAGATTAATGTTGAAGAATAATATTTAATTTTTTTGTTGAATCATATTAAATTAATATATATGGTTTATTATAGTTGTTATTTTATTAAAAAAATAGTTATAGTTTTATTAAATCAATTATTATATGTCGTTTAATTTATATTAGTTTGTTAGTTCGTTGATGTTATATTTTATGAAAAAAACTAGTTAATTTGTTTTTTAGTTTGTTAGTTTAAGTTAAGTTGTATTATAATAAAAAATCGTTTATTAGTTTAAGTTATAATTTGTTATTTTTTGTTCTTGTGTAGTGTAAATTAGTTAGTTAACATTAGATTATATTAAATGATTTTTAAATATTGTTGTTTATTTTTTTATATATTCATTCGAATGGCTGACCAAATTCCACTGCTGAGACTTGACAATGAACATATTTCAAGTCATTTGGGAATAATGGTGAATAAAATATTTGTTTAATGAATTATTAGTAATAAATATTTGAATATTATTTTATGATTGTGATAAATTTTTTGAAATATTTAATTGCAGGAGGACGAGCAGCGAGTCCTTCGTCTTCGGCTACATAAAGTGCCCAAGCTACACCGATTGATAGAAGAAAACTTGCAAGAGGCTGGATTTTGGTATGTAACATTTGTGCGAGATTAAAAGTTGGTCCCATGTTTGATCAGTGCGTTGATTGAACGTTGGAGACCAGAAATGCACACGTTTCATTTGTCGTGTGGCGAATGTACAATAACTCTAGAGGATGTGGCAATGCAACTTGGGGTCCAAATAAATGGGATGCCGGTGGTAATGTCACATGAGTTTAATAATGTGGCTCAAGTTTGCAGCTTGTTTCTTGGGAAAACGCCCTGTGAGGTTGTCATGGTTGAAAAATGAATTTCAGCTTCAACCAAATAGTACGGAGCACGAAATTATATATGCAACACGAGCATATATATTACAGTTGATTGGGGGAATTTTGATGCCGGATAAATCCGGTAGTTATGTTCACACTCAGTATCTTCTTTTTTTAAGAAATTTTGAGAATAGTAGGCAATATAGCTGGGGATCGACGATATTGACGTTCTTGTATTGTGAGATGTGCAAGGCGTCATTAGTCGTGAATGATAATAATACAGCAAAAATCGGTGGATGTCTGTTGCTGCTACAATCATGGGCTTGGCATAGACTTCCGTTTTTGACACCGATTAGTCGGACTGCGGTTGACTTTCCACTTGCCAGAAGGTAATAGGAATACGCTATTTTAATATAAAATATTTATTATAAAATATTTATTTGATTAAAATTATTGAAAAAATGGCCATATTTTGTTTTGATTGATATACAGATGGAGGCATAAAATTGAAGGCACGGGATTGGTGCACAACAACATTAAAGAGTTCAGGCTGAAGATCGACATTAAGGCCAAAACGGAGGTATGTAT